AACTTAACTGCTTTCTGAGTCAACTTAGTTAATGGAGTTGCAAGTGAGGAAAATCCCTCTACAAACCTTCTATAGTAGCCAGCTAACCCCAAGAAACTCCTGATTTCGGTTGGCGTTGTTGGCCTTAGCTAGTTCTTGACTGATTCTGTCTTCTGAGGGTCTACTTTTATGCCTTCACTAAATACCACGTGTCCTAAGAATGCCACTGACTGCAACCAGAACTCACATTTTGAAAACTTGGCATAAAGCTCATTCTTCTTCAAGGTCTGCAAGGCTATCTTGAGGTGTTCTATATGTTCTTCCTTGCTTTTAGAGTATACCAGAATATCGTCTATAAACACGATAATAAAGGTATCAAGGAATGGCTTGAAAATAATGTTCATGAGGTCCATGAATGTAGCAGGAACATTTGTCAACCCGAAGGATATCACTAGAAATTCATAGTACATGTAGCGAGTCCTAAAGGCTATTTTAGATATATCTTCTTCTCTGATTCTCAAATGGTGATACCCCGACCTCAAGTCTATCTTTGAAAAGTACTTTGCACCCTTGAGTTGGTCAAATAAATCATCAATTCTTGGCAGTAGGTACTTTTTCTTAAATAACTTTATTCAACTGTTGGTAGTCGATGCACATTCTACGAGACCCATCTTTCTTCTCGACAAACAGGACCAGGGCACCCCACAGTGAAACACTCGGCCTGATGAAGCCCTTGTCAAGAAGGTCTTTCAACTGTTCTCTCAACTCATTAAGTTCTACTGGATCCATCCTATAAGGAGGATTAGATATGGGTTGAATGCCTGGCATGAGATCGATACTAAAGTCTATGATTCTTTCAGGAGGAAGTCCGGGAAGGTCATCTGGGAAAACTTTTGGAAATTCTCTAACAACTGGCATAGACTAAATAGCTGGTAGTTCTGATTCTGGATTAATGATGTGAGCCAAATAGGTGAGACACCCCTTACCGATCATTCTTTGTGCCTTAAGGTAAGAAATAAACTTACCTATAAGCGATGTTGAACTACCCTTCCACTCTAAGACTTCTTCATTTGGAAATTGGAACCTGACTATCTTGGCACGATAATATAACATGGCATAGCAGGAAGACAACCAATCCATACCTGTGATCACATCGAAATCCACCATTTCTAACTCTATGAGATCGACCTTGGTGCTATGACCTTGGACTGAAACGGTGCAACCTCTATAGACTCTTGTGGCTTTCACTGACTCACCAGTTAGAGTAGATACTAGGAATGACTCACTAAGTTGTTCAAGTTCTAGCCCGAGGTTAATTGCAAAGTATGGAGTCACGTACGAAAACGTTGAACCTGGATCAATTATGGCATAAGCATTATGTGAGCAGACTAGAAGTATAACTGTAATAACTTCTGCAGATGCCTCTGTACTCTAACGATCAAGTGTAGCAAACAAACGGGGTTGTCCCCCCTCCCTGAGTAACTTGATTTGCACCTCTTCCTACCCCATGCCCGATCTGATTATAAGAACCACGAGCCTGAGGTGGTGCAACTATAGTAGTTGAGGAACTAGAAGGACGAGATGATCCCTCACTAAAATTACGTTGCAACTTTGGGCAGTTTGCCTTTATATGACCATTGTCTCTGCAATGATAGCAACCTTGAAACCTTAGCTTGCACTGACATGAATGTTTCCGCTTACATGTACCACAAAGACATTGATGTTTTGAATGTTGCTCAACATGACTCTGGCTATATGAGGATGGTGTCCTAAAATTTAATTTTGGCGAGACTGTTTTCCATAACTCTGAGTGCGTCTGAAGGTAGACCGGCCACCTGACTAATGATTGGACTGAGCTGGTGCTAATGACTCCTTGCTGAAGGAACTCCTTCCTCCTTCACTAGATGTACCACTAAGCCCGCCCATTGTTCGGGCTTTCTTGTTATGTTATTTCTCTTCTCTCTTTTGTTGTCTGTCTTTTTCTAAGTGCTTGGCAAAACCTACAGCAAAAGAGAAAGTTGTCATTCCTACCGCTGCAGTTGATGTCGTATCCTTAATCTAGTAATCCAAACTGCCAACAAACCTCCGAATCTTTGCTTTTTTTGTCTTAACCATGTGAGAAGCATGCTTGGCCAAACTTATGAATTCTATGTAGTACTCTCGCACACTTTTATTCCCTTGCTTGAACTGCTCGGACTTTGTAGCCTTAGCTTCCCTATCCTTGTCTGGTATAAAATTAGCCATGAAGGCCTATTCAAATTTTTCCCAAGTAAGCGGACCATCATCTTCATCTCTTTCACGTTCCCATATCTCAAACCAAGCGCCAGCCACATCTCTAAGTTGGTAGGCAGCCAGTTCCACAACTTCATCATCAAATGCCTTCATCGCTCGAAGGGCTTTCTTAGCACCCTCAAGCCACAACATTGGATCTTCATCAACTATAGTACCACGGAACAACGGAGGACTCAACTTCAAAAATTCATTCACTCTTGAGGACTCAGAATTATTCTGTCTATTTGATTGAGGCGGATTCTCATCTCTTCTCTAGTTCTGGTTGGCCGTGAAGGCTTTAAACATCTCCATAGCACTATTGACAGCATTAAACATCTTACCCACCTCTGGAAATATAGTTGTCTGAGCATGAACTGATGTTGGGGGTGGCAATGGATCCTGAGTTACTTGCTCATCATGCTCCACCCCTTCTTCATGTTCAACCCGGGGTACTTGAACCCCTTTGTGAATTTACCATTCTTTTTCTGAGTTGAAGTCTTCTTAGTTCTACCTTAAGCCACAATAATAGCAATAGTTTCTTGAGCAGCTTCCTGAGTGTCGGTGTCAGAGTTGCGAGTATGAGCCATTTCTTCGATTTTTGGAGAAACGAATACATTAGATAATTTCTTAGAGGTAGGCTCTACTACACGATCTAAAGTATGAAAAAAATGAGACTTTTCCTAAATGCTTGTAGCCTCATATTTATAAGTATGGCGCACTTCGTACTCACAAATAAGACTCTACTGACACAGCTTCATAGACCCCTAAGACTCCATAAACTTGATGCTCTGATACCAAGTTTGTCACGACCTATTTTTCTGAACAAGCCTTGACGGGTACCCGATCGCTAATTTGACCGAGCGAACCATCTGCACTTATCAAAACTATTATCATTTCAAACTTTATATGCAACAAGGCAATACTTTAATCAAATACTTTTAATTAATTTGAATATCTAAAATAAACCAACTCCAAAACTTTATTCGTGCTAACTACTGAAATTTTGCAAAGTTATTATAAAAAACATCTTAATCTTAACCCATCAACTATGTCTACGAAGTCTCTACTGATAAACTGACGCACTGCTCAAGACATGAGATTTCCTGGCTAGTTCTCCAAGTAAACAAAGAAATAGCTAAATAATGATGACTCAAAGGAATACTTCGCGAACAAAAGTGGAGCTCACCAATAGCACTCGAAGTGAGGGAAGTCCTAACCTGTAGACTACTAGCCTGCAAAACCGGTTGCTATGTTGTACCGCAGACCAACGCAGGTTCCCAAAAGAGAACGTCATTAGCATCCATTATACTCAGTGAGTCTCAACGACCCCCCACTAAAGCAGGGAACGAATCTTTAATAAACAAACAAAGATTCTAAATGCATGAAAAACATAAGGCTTCTGAGAACAATTCTAAAATAATTGCATAACAGTTTATAGATATTCTAAAAGAAATTCATTTCTTTTTCTTTCTTATCTAAATAAATACTTCACTTTATGCTTCCGGAGCTCCAATTATCCTGACTTATTCCCGTCTTAGACACCGTGTGATCGGCACGGGTTCGATCCCAACCTAATCGAATAGCCCCAATCCACGAGGTGCCACTCGCTTCGTGGTTCTCAGCGCCCATGTATCATACCTTAGCCTGGCTAGGCAAATTCTCAGCTACGAGAACCTTGGCTCGTGTTCTCCCTACTTTGGCACAAGTAGTTTCAAGAAGTCAACACCTTGGTCAGGACCCTCGGGCTGGACGATGACCCCTTCTCAGAATAGGGGATACTCTCAAAAATACTTTAATAATAAACTTTTATGTGCCTCGCTAGGGTCTAAATCAACTTCTCAACTTTCTTAACCATTCAAGATTAAATCTTTTCTCGAACAACCTATACATACTCATACTGGTATCTTTAAATTTAAAGCATGACATAAGCATGAAATAAACATTCAAAATTATTTCTAAAGATTCTTGCTTTTTCATTAATTTTCAACATGAAAATGTCATATAAGAATAACACAAACTTCTGAAAATTTATGCACATATGTAAGAATAAATCATCTAAACTTTAGCTAAAACAACTCTAAGTTAATAAGTACTCACTCGCTCCAATTAAGTACATATTAACTCTTCTAGGTAATTCATCAAATACCTTGTATGCGTGCTTTTATGAGTTAAACCACTTTAGTAAAGAGTTATATCAACTCACGTCAAAATTTCTCGAGTCAATACGTAGGCCCTGATGCATGTGTGAGTAAGCAGCAAGGCTGCCTCTGTTTCGTGTCTGTTTCTACTTTCGTATAAGGCTTTAAGCCTTTTTCCTTCCAACAGCCCACTTTATGGGTTATAGGCTTGTCCCCCCTCCCCCACCTCCCAAGCTCCCCTCCTCCCTCTTTTTTTTTCACTTAACTTGTATTTAATGATACTCACTTCTAATAACTAATAATATTAACTTTATTAAAATTCACCTAGTAGTATATCCAACTATTTATAAATAGAGAAGTAACTCAAAAGTCAATCATAAGGGGTTTAAATCCGTAATAGAAATATAATTCTTTTTTATGCACTCAAGGCAAGATAAAAAAAATTAAATTCTATATTGAGCGTGTCTTAAAAATTTTATAGATTTGAGAAATGTTACATAAAGTATCAGAAAAGCATACAAAATAAGAACCAACATCGAAGAATTTGCCTTTGACCACTAAAGAAAGCCTAAACTATAATGTGTTAAGCACAAGCTTCAGATTGAAGGCAACCCAAAGTGCTATCAGACCCTCGTTGTTTCCATCGGTCCAATCCACCATAGGAAACCGAACATTCACCTTGCCTAAAATAAAAGAATACAAATCACCTTGCCTAAAGTAAAAGAAAACTTTTATTCTTTCACTAGCTAGTCCTATAAGTAGTTTAAACAAATGTATACAAATTACAATTATCAAGATTGAGGTTCTTAACTTGACTAGAATTCAGCAAAAATGGATAAACAATATGCTAAAGAAACAATGATTACTAGAGAAGAAGGTAGGTGCATTGGCAATGAAAAGATTTCTGGTAATCAAGATGAATGCAACATTACAATTCAAGAGTCAAACTCAGATTCTCATGAAATCAGTGAAAATGAGAGACAATGGCTAAAATCATTGGAGAAGAGCAGAGAGTACCCCACCATTGGCTCATCACAGAAGCCAAAGATACACATGGTCCCCAAAATGCATCGCGAGATTGAATCAAATGTAAGATGCTATGAGCCCCTTGTGGTTGCTCTCGGTCCATTTCACCATGGAAAATCCAAGCTTCAACCTATGGAGAAGTACAAGGAGATGATGGCAATTCAGTTTGCTGATCAAGAAAGCACCGAACCAAAATCTGCTGGGGTCTTATCACGGCTTTTAACAAAATCAGTGTCCATTGATGAGCTTTACAAAAAGGTGAAGAACATTGTGCCTAATGTCAGGGAGTGTTATGCTCTGGACTTGATTAAAGATTACAGCAATGAGGAGTTTGCACAGATGATGTTCCTGGATGGCTGTTTCATTCTCCAATATATTCTCTGCCTTGTCACTGGCAATTATAAGAAGCTGCAAATGAAGAGTCATGATATAGCTTTCATTCGTCGTGATCTTTCTTACTTGAAAATCAGCTACCTTTTGAAGTCCTGCATGTGTTAATGAGCTGTAGGTTCAAGAAAGATGAAGGAATGAGAATGATTAAAACGTTCATCTCCAGTGCACATGCAAAGCCCCCTCAAAATCATGGATTAATTCAAAGTATCAAGGATGTCTTTCTTGATTTCTTTGGCAAGATTTGTGAAGGAGAAGGGCCTTACCTGATCAAAGAAGAAAATCCTGCTCATCTGCTTGAGATATTAAGAACGCAACTCATAGACCCAAATGTTTTCTCAGAAGGAGGATGCTATCTAAGGGGTGAGTGGTGCTCATATCGTTCAGCCATGGAGCTCAAGAGAGCAGGAATACGTTTCAGGCGTGGAAAAAGTCGTCGTCCTTCAGACATTAAGTTCAACTCATTTCATTGCTCGGCTCTTTTAACACTTCCATCTATAACCATAGATGATTCAACCAAGTCAGAGCTTTTAAACTTGGTTGCATATGAGGCATGTCCTGACACACCAGATGACTTTGGAGTTACATCTTATCTTTGCTTCATGGATTCACTAATTGATCATGCTGAAGATGTGAAGGAGCTGAGATCCAAAGGTATACTTCTTAACTTTCTTGGAAGTGACCAAGAAGTAGCAGATCTCTTCAATGAAATAGCAACAGATTTGGTGCCTAATCCACATGCCTTTGTTGGTGTGAAAGACAAAATTGAGAATCATTACAATAACAAAGGAAAAATATGGATTGCTGAGTGGAAGAACACTCATTTTACTACCCCATGGACTATTTTTGCATTTATTGCCGCAATTTTTGTCATAGGTTTGGAAGTTACTGGTACAGGTCTATCAGGTATCCAAACCTACTTTGCAGTCCATCCAAAAGGCAGCTAGTAATGCTAGTATTAAAAACCAACCAGTTCTTTTTTCTTATTTTCTGCAGTAAATAACGAGTGTCATGTTTTCTGAATTCATCATTTGTTTTACATTACTGCTATGACGATGATCAATCTTTGTACTCATGTCTATGTACACAAACTTGATTTGTTTGTTATTCATATTTTTGTTCGTGTAAATTTACTACTCTGAAGCACATGAATGGTATTGGATCATGACGTAGACCTTTGAACGATTACTAGACAAAAAGACAATGTTGTTTCCTAATTAATCCAAAATCATTCTTTCTTATGAAGAGGTTGTCTAAGTGAAACTTAAGTAATTGATACTTTGGAGGGTGCAACTTACTAGGATTTTCAAGAACAAGGAACACTAAATGCAATACGATTCCTCCGTTTCTTACTGTAAAAGCATCATGAGTTTTTTATTCAAAGTATAGAACAAAAACAGAAGTGCAGATATCAGAATATACAGACTTGATATCAGAGGAAACTTTATAGAAAGTAAAATGCGAAAGATCTGGACTGCCTATCATTTTCACTCTAAGCATCAGAAAAGCCTAGAAATTTAGAACAAACATTGAAGAATTAGGCTTTGACCACTACAGCAATGGCTGCTCATCAGGATAAAATCACCAGCCATGCACCCGTTTTGTATGATTTGCCGGTTTCTATAGAAAATTAAATATTTAATGTAAGCCCTTCCACTAAGAATACCAGAGAAACCTAAACTATAAAGAGTTCACTAGGAATACAAGTTAATTGGAGATTCACTATGTGCCGGCCACATCACCCTATGGCTACCAATATTTTCTAGTACTCTGGTCAATAAAGTTTTACTATTAAAACTAATTATGAAAAGGAAAAAGTTTTCCAAATCCATCTTATGGAGTTATATTATATTGACAATTAGAAGTTCATGTAAATCTGATTTGCTATTTTGCATATTGTATTGGCAAGAGGTTGATTTTGCAGCATGCTTTTCTGACATATATGGCAATAGTTACTGATAAATAGAGAGAGAAACTTGGAGCATGCATTCCGAAAATTTGACTAGACTGCCAACCACAGCTAAGGTTTTGTAAAGTTTAACAACAAGAAACTTGTGTATCAAGCGTAACTGCTTACATTACTCTCCAATAAAGTTAAATCAGAAGTATCTCTTCTCATAACCGACGAGACCATGAACCCCTCCTTCAACTTGTGCGGCTCCTGTTCGGACCTGGAGAACCAGAAAAGAGAGTAAAAGTTAGATTCCCATGAACTAACAATCAAAAAAAAGTTAGATCCCCATGAACTATGAGGTAAGATGATTCTGCTGTTTCATTTTTTTTCAAATACCCGAAAAACAAAACACAAACATGCAGCAATATAGTAATGGTTGAGTAAGAAGATACAACAAATAACAAGAGACAAACCTCTAGCCTCAATTTGCCTGATTTTAAAAGATGATGAGCAGATTGCAAGGAGGAAGCACCTAGATCCTGGAATCCTTGCTTTACAGCTTGCATTGTATAGGGAATGAACTTCAGAATAGAACCTTTATCAGCAACTGAACCAACAACTCCTTGAGCAATCTTTAGTTTAGCAGTATCACCCAAGTATCTTGCATCACTCCCTTTTGTCATTGCTTCCAGGGATCCCATACCTCGATATTTTTTCACACGCAGACCATTCTATCCTTGCCCAAAAATTGACCAAAGTTAACAATAGCACAAGGGCATATTTGAGTTGATTACACTTGCAAATATGAACAGAATCACCCAGGTTCTTTTAGTCTCGAGAGTACAAATATTTGCAATCAAGCAGCTTTGAAGATAACATAACCAAAACTCTTGTCACAGAAAGCAGATATACTATGTGCCAAATAATAAAATATACTATATATATTTAAAATAAGGCCAGTATACAGATAGCCCGAAGAGTTGGCACAAAATGTATATTAGACACTGAAACTTTGCTACTGACCACCTGACACTTCATGCCAACTTTGAGGGACACAGCCAAATTGCCGCCTAAAAAATAAAAAGTTCTATATCCAAAGAGCAACTTTCCATGGACTAAGTCAACTTGCATGCAGGATATAAACTGAAAACAGATAGGAAAGTTTCCAGGAAATATCATGTAAAAATAAGAGTCCAGATACAGCTAAAGAAACCGTAGATGTATCTTGGAAGGAACTTTTGCATACATAGCATAAAAGCATTGAGAATCCTGTTGTACCTTATATTCATATGTGCCGGGAGCTTCATTACTACCAGCCAAGAAGCTTCCCATCATGACAGTTGATGCTCCAAGTGACAATGCCTTCACGATATGGCCAGAATTTGAAATCCCACCATCAGCGATGACAGGGATACCATGCTGCTCAGCAATTGATGACACCTTGTAAACAGCAGTTGCCTAAACAAAATTGACAGAGAACATAATTATCAAAATGGTCCTTAATGTATCCAGGGTTGCTTTATTTGGTCCTTAATATATCACGCTTGACAGATATAATTCTTAATGTAGGTAAATAGAAGACACATCTGGTCGGAAAACCTAAATCTAACAGATTTCTCAAAAGAGGCTTTATGTTTAATGCTTTTCCCTGTTCCCTGCTCAAAGATCAGATCATTTCCCTCCACGAGGAAACATTCACAGATATTCACTTCAAATTTGCACTAAGAAAACTGCACTCCATGCTAAAACTGTACTCTTCAAATTTGCACAAAAAAGCGCACTGCTATCAGTTCACTGCACCAGAATTTTTTACTGAAAAAGTTGCACTACTATCACTTCAGTGCACCAGATTTTTTGACTTAATAATATGAACCAGATTTTTTCTCAAAAAGCTGCACTTCCATCACATAACCAAACATAGCAAACAATGCAACAAATTTTAAATTGGAACAAAGGGAGCACAATCATCAGAACAAAAAACCAGTTGCTTCCAACAATAACAAGTTAATGAAGAGATAGATAATTCACCTGACCGCGGCCCACAGCGCAAACTTCTTGAGTGGTACAGATGGAGCCGGATCCCATACCAACCCTTAATCCATCAACACCCTGCTTAATTAAGTTCTCAGCTTGGTAATTAGTGACTACATTTCCACCAATCACATCCAAGTGAGGGTAAGTATGTTTCACATGCTTGATCATATTAATCTGGTACAGCGAATTCCCTTGCGAGCTATCAATCACCACAGCATTAATCCCTTCTTTCACTAAATGCTCCAGCCTCTCTTTATCTGAGTCTCTCGTCCCCACCGCTGCCCCCACTAAGAACTTCCCGTCTTCCCCTAAAGATGGCAAGCCCAATTTCGGAAGTCCCTTTATTCTCTCCATATCAGCACTCGTGACTAAATTGACTGCTTCCCCGTTTTCCTCCTCCTCGTTTACTAACGCAACAAAGTCCAGCTTTTTAGATGCCATGTAGCCTGCCACGTCATTGAAATTATAACTCGAAGGCAGAGTAACGGGAGAAGCGTTCATATAAGTAGAGATCCTAGCTTCCTTATTGCTCAAGTTCTCCCAATCAAACTTGGACACGTGTCCTAACAGTTTGGATTGTTTGTTCCCTGACTCGGTGACGAAAATGCAAGGGGAGTTAGCGAATTCATCGGCGGAGTGGATTGAATCGGACGGAGAAGCGAAGATTAAGTCGGCTGAGAAAGGGATTTTATGAGATTTGGCGGCACGGATGATGGATGCTTGTTGAGAGATAGTGTTGTTGTAGTGAACGATACCTATTCCGCCGAGCGCCGCCATGGAAACGGCCATGGAGGTCTCGGTGACGGTGTCCATGGGAGAAGCGACGCAGGGGATGGAGAGGGGATGTTGCGGCTGAGCTTAGTGGAGAGGTTAACGTCGTCGACGGGGAAGTCGATGTAGCCAGGGAGGAAGATGACATCGTCGTAAGTGTAGGAGTAACCTTGGTTGAACAATCTCTCAGCTGGAAATCCGTCGTTGTTCATGGCGGCGGCGGCGATGGCGGCAAATGTCTAGGGTTGTGTTTTGTCTACCAAATTCTTTCGTATGAAATGTTTAATGTTGGGAAAGGATACCTGTCAAGTAGAGTTCTGGTAGCCAACAGAATCTCTCTGTATATATAATTGAGCGCAAATTGGCGTGGATATGGATGGCAGGGTAGTTAGTTTTCTTTCTCCTAATTTTCACCCATCAATAATCAACAAATAAAATGAGAAGGGTAAAAAATGCCCCTAAGCTATTGAAAAACGGCGAAAGTCCAAATATACTCGTTATTTTCAAAAATGATCTAAAAATATCCCTCATTATACTATTGGGTTATCTATACCCCTTCAGTTATACTTCGGGTTCAAATATACCCTCATTTAAACGGAAGGACACGTGTCATCGTCATGTTGACCAATTCTAAATATCTCCTAATTAATTAAAAATACCCATATCCGAAAAGTAATTTTCTAAAGCTATTTATTTTTTGTAAAAATTGAAAAAAATTGAAATTATTTTTACTAAAAACTGAAAAAAACAAAAATATTTTTTTTTCCAATTTTTACAAAAATATTGCTTTAGAAAATTACTTTTCAGTTTTTATTTTTTAGTTTTTACAAAAACAATTGCTTTAGAAATTATTTTTCAGTTTTTTTAAAGAAATATTTTTGTAAAAACTGAAAAAATATATTTTTAATTTTTTCAGTTTTTAGTAAAAAATATTCAGTTTTTTCCCGTTTTTAATTGTTTTAGAAAATTATTTTTCAGTTTTTTTGTAAAAGCTGGGGGAAAAAAGTATTTTCGTTTTTTTTTTCAATTTTTTGTAAAACAAATTCAGTTTTTTTTCAGTTTTTACAAAAAAAAAAAAATTGCTTTAGAAATTACTTTTCGGGTATGGTAATGGGTCTTTTTAATTAATTATGAGATATTTAGAATCGGCCAACAGAACGATGACACGTGTCCCTCCGTTTAAATGAGGGGTATATTTGAACCCAAAGTATAACTGCAGGGGTATAGATAACTCAATAGTATAACGAG